TTTATGTAATACATATATTGTGTACATTTCGGCACCAAAAAGTTTATGATAACATTTTCAGGTGATGTGGTGCATGAATTTGGCCCTCCATCATCTGCTTTGAAACTAAAATAAAATAAAAACAAGAGCAGTTATATGTTTTTATTAACCGCTTCTGGACCACCCTATAGCAAAACTACTGCTACAGGCCAGCAGGGCTGCGCAAAATCACATATATATATATATATATATATATATATATATATATATATATACACATACATACACATATATACACACGATTTCGCATTTCCGAGTGGGGGGACCACGCGCCGCCCTACCTACGCCGCTGTTGGTGGCTACAGCTGTTGATCACCGGGTCCCGGCGGAAGATTCCCCGCCGGCACCCGGCGATCGCTGAGGAACACTGACAGGAGAGAGGTCTGTATGTAAACAACACAGATCTCTCCCCTATCAGCACCAGCATGCTGTTTTATATTGCTCTGCAAAGCAGAGCAATACAAAGCAGCATGCTTACATAGTAAAACACACACAGCACACATAGTAAAACAGCACACAGTTAACCCTTTGATCGCCCCCAGATGTTAACACCTTCCTGCCCAGTGTCATTAGTATAGTGTCAATGCTTATTATTAGCACTGATCACTGTATTAGTGTCACTGGGGATGTCAGTGGCAGTTAGTCAGTTCCCCCCCCCCAGTGTCATAATGCCTGCCGCAGTCCCGCTATAAATCGCTGATCGCCACCATTACTAGTACAAAATTTTAAAAAAATAACAAATTCCAGTATATATACACACCACCATTTGTAGACGCAATAACTTTCACATAAACCAATTCATTTACACTTATTGGGATTTGTTTTTTTAGCAAAGACATGTAGCAGAATACATTTTGGCCTAAATTTATGATGAAATTGGATTTTTACTATTTTTTACTGGATATGTTTTTATAGCAAAAAGTCAAAAATACTGTGTTTTTTTTCCAAAATGGTTGGTCTTTTTTTGTTTATAACGCATAAAATAAAAACTGCAGAGGTGATCAAATACCACTGAAAGAAAGCTCCATTTGTGGGAAAAAAAGGACATGAATTTTGTTTGGGTACAGTATTGCATAACCGCGCAATTGTCAGTTAAAGTAACGCAGCACCGTATCACAAAAAATGGCCTGGTCAGGAAGGGGTGTAAATCCTCTGGAGGGCAAGTGGTTAAAACAGGTTGCCAAAACGAAAACCTTAAAAATATTTCAAATTATTTAGGCATGCTAATTTGTCGTGGTGTTATTGAACAAAAACACCGTGTTACAGCTACATTTGGTTATGAAAGGGTTTGGGCAGTTCTTTAAAAAAAAATTAAAATAAAAAAATATTAAAAAATAAATGGTGGGCTTCGACTTTGTTTTTGTTATCTCCATAATGTTTAGCTTTCAGATAGGGAAAGGGACAGGTTTTAATATAAGGGTGAGGATCAGTGATAGAGAAAGGTGGTTATACTGGGTCTACTGATGTCTATATTTGAGATTGGCACCCAAGGATCATTGTTCAAATATTCTCTACCAAACTGTAGGCACATACCCAGGTAGGAATATAACCATTGACTGTGAAAACAAAAATGGTACTGAAATTTGGTGCACCGGGCTTTTAGTATCGGACAAGAGAGAAGGAGCCTTTCATGGGTTTGTCTGGAAAAAGGTCTACTATATTACAAAGAGGTGATCAAAAGACACTCCCAAATAACTAGACTATGGAGAAAACAGAGTGGGATAAACTAGTGTGGTACAGAAATGCCTGGATGTAAACCAAAAGGCTTTGGCAGGCAGAACATGTTTCCTTTATACCTTTCATGGCTTAATTTTCATTTCTGACTGAAGTGCACCTTTAAGAGTTCCAGCTATCTTATCAGCTACAACCATCATGCCATATTCAGGGTCATTAAGGACAGCTTAATTTCTATTTTGCTGGCCGTGTTTTCCTATAGCAGTTTTATATTATATTATCATGAGCATAGCTTTTTGAATAGATATAAAAAGAAAGAAAAAAAATACCTTCTTTTGTGACATATTTCATGTTTTCAGAAACAACTGCACTTCTGTCCTGAGAATCCAGGTATGAAAATGTTTCAAAATCTTGAAAATTATATCTAGCTGCAGGATGAAGAGAAATATATAGTTAAATCATCTCTTTAATACTTTTTATGAATAGAAAGTAAAATAAATATAGAAACATGTGAAAACATGTCATAATTAACAGATCTAATGGTGTTAATCTTTAAAGCAATATTAAACCCAAACACAAAAATGTAATATATAGCAACTAACCAATCCTTTAACATGGTGGCTGCATTTTTTTTTTTTTTTTTTTTAGGTTTTTCATGTATTTTCACTTGGTAATCCAACCCTAACACTTCAACAACTTCCTGTCTTAGGGTGTCTCCATTTTTTTTTGAGAAGCAACTAAGCCATTCTTGCTTGCTAACTGCCACTTTTGCTGAACAGCTAGACCTGTTAAAAGGAAGTATAATAGACTTACTGACCTGATCACCACGAGAAAAAGGCAAAAAGGCGTAAAAAAAAGAAAAAAGAAAAATGCACTCACTACATCTAAGAATTGGTAAGGCTGGCCATACATTATACAATTTTCTTGAGAATTTTGTTTTAGATTTACCAAAAACCATATGATATGAGGTCAAACCTAAACAACACTTTCAATTGTATCCAATTAGGCAGGCTCTTGTACTACAAAGTTAAAGGTAAATCTAAAGGAAATTGGGCACAAAAATTGTATAGTGTATGGCCAGCCTAAACTACAAGTGGGATTTTTGACCTACCTGTAAAACTAATTTTTTGAAGTACAGGAAACAGGCAGATTCAGAGAGGACTGGGTTATAGTCAGGTAACTGGACACTGGCAAAAAAACTGCGAGGACCCTCATATTGCCTCTTGCTCCCAGCAATCCACAGTTCTGTAGCAAGTAAGGGCCACAAAGGGGAAGGTGTCCTGTACTGTACGCTAAGAAATATTTTACAAGTAATCCAAAGCCAGTGAGGAGGAAAGGCATATATCAAGCATATAATCAGAGAGAACGTATCCCCCAGGGTCACAAGAGTGTTCACTGTGAATGCCTTCAGGTCCCAAGACCGAGACGCGAAACTCTCCACCTTGTGGTTTAATCTCCACCATAGGAGATCAATGTCTGGTATTTCCCATCTGGGACAAATGCCCTCACACTTCTGGATGTACAGTAAAGGACCACTCTACCATCCCCAGTGCTTGACAATTCTTTTTCAAATGTTTTTTATTAAAGCTTTTCAGTGATAGTACATTATGAATATACAGCAAAGTGCATATACAGAGGATATAAAAAGTCTACACACCCTTGTTAAAACTTCAGGTTTCTGTGAGACAAAGATAAATCATTTCAGAACTTTTTCCACCTTTAATGTGACCTATAAATTGTACAACTCAATTGAAAAACAAACATTTAAAGTGCCTCTGATTAACCCCAAATAAAGTTCAGTTGTTCTAGTCTGTCTTTCCTGACATTTTCTTAGTTGCATTCTACAGCAAAGGCCATGGTTAGCAGAGAGCTTTCCAAAGCATCAGAGGGATCTCATTGTTAAAAGGTATCAGTCAGGAGAAGGGTACAAAAGAATTTCCAAGGCATTAGATATACCATGGAAGACAGTCATCAAGTGGAGAACATAAGGCGTAACAGTGACATTAGCAAGAACTGGACGTCCCTCCAAAACTGATGAAAAGACAAGAAAACTGGTCTGGGAGGCTGCCAAGAGGCCTACTGCAACATTAAAGGAACTTCAGGAATATCTGGCAAGTACTGGCTGTGTGGTACATGTGACAACAATCTCCCATATTCTTCATATGTCTGGGGTATGGGGTAGAGTGGAAAGATGGAAGCCTTTCAAAGAAAAACATCCAAGCCCGGTTAATTTTGCAAAAACACATCTGAAGTCTCCCAAAAGCATGTGGGAAAATGTGTTCTGGTCTGATGAAACCAAAATTAAACTTTTTTGGCCAAAAGATATGTTTGGCGCAAAACACTGCACATCACCAAAAGAACATCATACCCACAGTGAAGAATGGTGGTGGCAGCATCATGCTTTGGGGCGGTTTTTCTACAGCTAGAACTGGGGCCTTAGTCAAGCTAGAGGGAATTATGAACAGTTCCAAATACCAGTCAATATTGGCACAGAACCTTCAGGCTTCTGCTAGAAAGCTGAAAATGAAGAAGAGGAACTTCATCTTTCAGCATGACAACGTCCCAAAGCATACATCCAAATCTACAAAGGAATGGCTTCACCAGAAGATGATTAACATTTTGGAATGGCCCAGCCAGAGCCCAGACCTGAATCCAATCGATAATCTGTGGGGTGATCTGAAGAGGGCTGTGCACAGGAGATGCCCTCGCAATCTGACAGATTTGGAGTGTTTTTGCAAGGAAGAGTGGGCAAATATTTCCAAGTCAAGATGTGCCATGCTGATAGACAGACACAAAAAGACTGAGTGCTGTATAAAAATCAAAAGGTGTTTCAATAAAGTATTAGTTTAACCACTAGCCTACAGGGCACTTATACCCCCTTCCTGCCCAATTTCCAGCTTTCAGCGCTGTCACACTTTGAATGACAATTGCGCGGTCATGCAACACTGTACCCATATGAAATTTTTATCATTTTTTTGAGACAGATAGAGCTTTCTTTTGGCGGTATTTAATCACCTCTGGGATTTTTATTTTTTCTTCAACCAAAAACCACAGGAAATTTTGAAAAAAAAAGTTTTACTTTTTGTTATACAATTTTGTAAATAAGTGATTTTTCTCCTTCACTGATGTGCGCTAATGAGGCTGCAATGATGGGCACTGATAGGCTGCACTGATGGGCACTGATGAGGAGGCACTGGTAGGTTGCACTGATGGGCATTGGCAGGCATCACTGATGGGCACTGAAAGGCAGCACTGATATATGACACTGATAGGCGGCACTGACGCGCACTGATAGGTGACACTGACTGGCACACTGATTGGCAGCACTGATAGGTGGCACTGACGGGTGACATTGAAAGGCAGCTCAGATGGGCACTGATATGTGGCATTGATGTGCACTGGTATGCACTGATATGTGGCATTGATGTGGCACTGATGGGCACTGGCACGTGGCACTGATGAGCACTGACAGGTGGCACTTCTGGGGCCACATTGATCATCAGAGCACACTGATCATCAGTGCCCTGATGATCAGTGCACATGTCCCCTCCGCGGAAAGCCGATTACCGGCTCTCCTCTCGAGCTGTCAGCGTGACAGCTCGAAAGGAGAGAAATGCCGATAACCGGCATTTCCCTGTTTACATGTGATCAGCTGTGATTGGACACAGCTGATTACATGACCGAGCTGACATCTTCGGCTCTTTCCGTGATCCACTGTGTCCGAGGGACACAGCGCACCGGCGATCGCCGCGCTGCACGCTCCCTGAGCCGCGCATGCGCAGTGAGAATGGTAGGACGTCATATGACGTCCTATCAGAACGAGAGAACCACCTTGCGCCCGTCATTGTACTAAAGGGGGGGCGTAAGGTGGTTAAGGGTGTGAACGCTTAGGCATCCGTATTATTTTAGTTTTTTTTTTTTTTAGTTTTTTTTTTTTTAACTTTCCTCCACCTAAAAGATTTCAGTTTCTTGTTCAACTGAGTTGTACAGTTTATAGGTTACATTAAAGGTGGAAAAAGTTCTGAAATTATTTATTTTTGTCTAATTTTTTTTACATCATGGAATCATGACAGTTTAACAGGGGTGTGTAGACTTTTTATATCCACTGTATCACCCGTAAGGCAGAGTATAATCAATGTGGTTAAATAAAGCAGCGAGATGTTCAGAAGCAAAGCATATAAAAACAGTCAAAACAAAGAACCACAAGCTCGCAGCACCTCTAGGCATATCCGATAAAACTCTGGCTGAGGCAGCTGTAATTGTTGGTGAAAATAAGATGGATCCTGAATGCCTCTGCGATCAAGAAAGTGTCCTATACACTACATTCCCTTATGTATACACCATGGGAATGAGATACAGTACACAGCATAAATGAGTACACCCTAACATGTCAGAAAACCTTTCCTTTCAGGATCAACATTTTCTATGGGACACTATACTACAAAACACTCTCACACATGCGTGTCACTGATTGCAAACAAGCTTTGTTAATTTGCACACCTGCCCCCTCGACCCTATCCCCTCACAACTCCTACGACCTCCCTCCCCCTTCATCCTACGCTCCCTCACCCACATCTTTAATCTCTCCCTCTCCTCCGGCACTTCCCCCCCCCTCTGAAACATGCACACATCACCCCCATACTTAAAAAGCCCTCCCTGGACCCCAATGACCCGAACAACCTCAGACCCATCTCCCTGCTCCCATTTACATCTAAACTCCTCGAGCGCCTAGTCTACACCCGCCTAAGCTCTCACCTCAACGACAACAACCTCCTCGATCTCCTACAATCTGGCTTCCGTCCCCTACGCTCCACCGAAACTGCCTTACTCAAACTCTCCAACGACCTGCTAAACGCCAAAGCTAATGGCCATTATTCAGTGCTGCTACTCCTTGACCTCTCTGCGGCCTTCGACACAGTCGACCACCCCCTACTCCTCAAAAAAACTACACTCCCTCGGCCTGAGAGATTCTGCTCTCTCCTGGCTCTCATCCTACCTACTCCACCTCCAGACGTCGATCCATACCACCTCCTCACGACGACCCCTTCCACTCCTCCCGACGCCGGGCCCTTCAGCGCCTCCCGACGCCGAGCCCTCAACACCTGGCCTCAACGTCTCCGGTCTCCGAGCCGCCAGCCTCACCAGACGCCGCGCCTACCGCACCCCAGTTGTCGCGCCCTACGACCCCTCCGCTCACCGAACCACCGCACCCACTGATGACGTGCCGCCGCACCCACGGACACCAACCTACTTCACCCGCAGACTACTACCAACCAGTTGCTATCCCTGCTGCCCTCCACTCTCCCTCTCCCCTCACAGAAGAACTCAATAGTCTCCTCCACAGCACTACAGATGCTCTGCTTCACCATCCCGGACCTGCACCTCCTCACCTCCCACGGTGTTTCGGACACTCTGCTTTGCCATCCCTGACCAGCACCCCTTCACCCCCCTGACCTTTCCAGCACCCCGCTCACCCCAACATGCCGCCCGCGCTCCTCCTCCTCATCCTCCTCTCCTCCATCCCTAAAACCGCCTCCCTCTACCCGCCTACCCCCACTAAGCAGCTCTATATCGCCCCCTCGCTTCTCCCCTCTCCCCATTACGGCACCCACCACCTCCTCCTGCTACTCCACTTCCCCGCTGACCCACTTGCCACCACTTCCAGACCCACACGCTCCTACACCTCCCGTTCCCATGCCACCTTCCTCACCCTCCTCCTTCTCATATCAGCTGGGGACATCTCCCCGAACCCTGGCCCCTCACCCCCCCCCCCTAGAGTCCCCCCTGCTCACACCAGCCGACGCGACCCCCTCAACCTCATACATGTACCTCTCCTCCCCATACCTATCCCCCCCCCCTCTCGGCTGCACTCCTGAATGCCCGTTCGGTTTGCAACAAGGTTACAGCCATCCATGACCTCTTCATCTCCCGCTCCCTAAACCTCCTAGCAGTCACCGAAACCTGGGTACAGGCCACCGACTCTACTTCCCCTGCGGCACTCACCCATGGATGTCTCATCTGGACCCATTCGCCAAGACTGAGCGATCGCAGAGGTGGTGGTGTCGGCCTGCTCCTTTCACCGCTGAGCACCTTCCAGGTCCTCCCTAACCCACCCTCTCTATCCTTCCCCTCCTTTGAGGCTCACTGCATCCGACTCTTCTCACCCACCCCCCTAAGGATCGCAGTGATCTACAGACCCCCTGGGTCCATACCCCACTTCCTGGACAACTTCGCCGCCTGGCTCCCCTTTTCCTCTCCTCTGAGCTACCGACCATCATCCTCGGGGACTTCAATATCCCCATCAACGACAACAACCCGGCCACTTCCCAATTCCTCCACCTAACCTCCTCCTTCGCGCTCACACAGCACACACAATCCTCCACCCACATCGGAGGGAACACCCTGGACCTCGTCTTCTCCCACCTCTGTACCCTCAACCAGTTCTCTAACACCCCCTTCCCTCTCTCTGACCACCACCTCATCACGTTCTCCATCTCCCCTTCCCCCAACCCCCCCCCCCCAAAAACGCCAAACCATCACCAGCCGCAATCACCGCAATCTGAACCCGGCCCCCCTCCACGACAGCATCCTCCCACTATCATGTCCTGACATAGCCACCACCTTGTACAACGACTCACTCTCAGCTGCCCTAGACTCTCTAGCACCCCTAACCACACGCATCTTCAAACCTAGGCCGCTTCAACCATGGCAGAATGACAGCACTAAACGCCTCAAACATCGCAGTCGCGCACTGGAGAGACTGTGGCGCAAAACCAGGTCCCCTCACGCATTCTCCCTCTACAAATCTGCCTTCCTCACTTACACCTCCTCCCTCCACGCCGCCAAGCAGGCCTACTTTGTTAACCTAATCAACACCCTCTCCTCCTGCCCTCGCCGACTCTTCTCCACCTTCAACTCCCTGCTCTCTCCCCCCCCCCTCCTCCACTCAGTACCTCACTCACCGCCCACGAGATTGCCACCCATTTCCGTAACAAGATTGACGATATCCGTAAGGACATTGTCAACTCGCAATCTACCTCCCCACCTAGCCTCCCCACCCCCGTCACCCCGTCTTCTCCCCCCTCCTCTGCCCTCACAAACGCACTGCCCTTCACCTCTCCCAAGGCCCCGTCCACCGTAACCCCCCCTGCACTGCACTCCCTCAGCCCTGTCACTACTGAGGAAGTCGTCAAGGTCCTCTCAGAAGCCCGCCTCACTACCTGCCCCCTGGACCCTATCCCCTCTCAACTCCTTCGGTCACCCCCCTCTTCCCTCATCCGCTCCCTCACCCACATCTTCAATCTCTCCCTCTCTACTGGCGCATTCCCCTCCCCCCTAAAGCACGCACATATCACCCCCATCCTCAAAAAGCCTTCCCTGGATCCCGCAGACCCCAACAACCTCAGACCCATCTCCCTGCTGCCACTCACCTCCAAGCTTCTTGAGCGCATAGTCTACGATCGCCTAAGCGCCCACCTTATTGACAATAACCTCCTTGACCCGTTACAGTCCAGCTTCCGTCCCCTACACTCCACCGAAACTGCCCTCCTCAAAATCACTAACGACCTACTAAACGCCAAAGCCAAGGGCGACTACTCCGTCCTCCTTCTCCTGGATCTCTCTGTGGCCTTTGACACAGCCGACCACCCCCTCCTCCTTAATAAACTACTCTCCCTTGGCATCAGAGATACCGCTCTCTCCTGGTTCTCATCCTACCTATCCTGACGCTCCTTCAGTGTCACCTACAATGGCGCCCCCTCCCCCTCTCTGTTGGGGTCCCTCAAGGCTCTGTCCTTGGACCCCTTCTCTTCTCCATCTACACCTCCTCCCTGGGCACACTCATACACTCCCATGGCTTCAATTATCACCTCTATGCTGACGACACCCAAATTTACCTCTCCACCCCTCTCCTCACCCCCACTATCTCTGCCCGCATCACTCACCTCCTAAACGACATCTCAGACTGGATGTCGCTCCATTTCCTCAAGCTTAACCTCTCCAAAACCGAACTCCTCGTCTTTCCCCCTGCCCACACCCCCCCATCCTATCCATCACCACCACCAACACCACTATCATTCCCGCCCCGCAAGCCAAAGTCCTTGGCGTCATTCTTGACTCGAACCTCTCCTTCCTGCCTCATGTCAAATCACTTACAAACACCTGCAGGCTCCATCTCCGCAATATCGCCAAGATACGTTCCTTCCTCACCCCCCAGACACCACCAAACTTCTTGTACACTCCCTCATCATCTCACGCCTTGACTATTGCAACTCTCTTCTCACTGGCCTACCCAAGTGCAGGCTCTCCCCGCTCCAGACCATCCTGAACTCAGCGGCCAGACTCATCCACCTCACCACCCGCTCCACCTCTGCCACCCCCCTCTGCCTCTCCCTCCACTGGCTCCCGATTGCCCAACGCATCAAATTTAAACTTCTAATCCTGACCTACAAAGCTGTTCATAACACTGCCCCTGACTACCTCACCAACCTGATCCCCAAGTACCACCCTACCCGTACCCTTCGCTCCTCACAGGACCTCCTTCTATCCTGCTCCCTGGTCTCCTCCTCCCATGCACGATTGCAGGACTTCTCCAGGTCCTCCCCTATCCTCTGGAACTCACTGCCCCAATCCATCCGACTGTCGCCTTCCCTCCCCACATTCAGGCGCTCTCTCAAAACCCATCTCTTCAGGGAAGCCTACCCCACCCTCACCTAACGGCCATTCTCCCTC